TAGCGTCTCCGCGGCCCGGTTCTCGACCTGGCCTCCAGTTTGTTACACATCCCCCCAGGAAGCAGCCCGTAGCAGCTGTCCAACTCCCAGATACCTATTTACTGCTAAATGAACAGAGGCATCAGATTGAAAGAAACTCTGCCCATTTGTTTCCACCACCGCCGGGGATCGAACCCGGAATCTTAGGACTACGAATCCCGAGCGCTGTCCACTCCGCTAACGACCTCAATTCGAACCGCAACTCAGCTAATGCTTCATCCAAATCAAACACAAATAATCGTCAACAGAGCCTAACCATAAGGAGTATGCCTAACTATACATAGAACTTTAATATATAATAATAATAATAATAATAGTAATAATATATGAGAACTAGCCTAATTTTAATGCACAATACGTTAAAATTGAATGCGTCCGGGGGGGGCGGGGGGGGGCCGGAAGCCGCTTTAACGAGCCTGACCTGAGAACAGGTCGCGGGCTGCCCTGGGTAGTTAGGAAACCGGTGTGTGTAAGGATGTAAATCAGATGTGAATAGACTCTTTTATTTCGATCTGAGGGTCCCCTACCCTCTCTCTCTCTCTCTCTCTCTCCCTGAGTTAAAATATATAGGGAGCTTGGTTATTATGTTTCATTTAGTGTTTTTGAATGAATGCTTATTTATTTATTTATTTATTTATTTATTTATTTATTCACGCATAAAATCCGAGGAAATAAAATATGTTTTTGTTTTAGAGAAACTATGAGTGTTGCAGCTTTTGGTTAATTGCGTTCTTTTTTTTTATCTTTTGTATAAAAGTTGGGTAAATTAGTTGCTTTTCCTAGAGAAAAAAATCACTTTTATTTGAATTTGTTAAACTTTAACTAAACATCCGTGACCTGATTCACCTTGGGGTTATAAATAGCATTTGTTAACTTACACAAGCGCTATCGCAATCAACGATAACGAACCTATAGATCTCGATAGCACAAGGAATTAGGTAGTTATCCGGCGGAAGCGCTATAAGTTATCACGACTATATAGCACTTCGAAGGGTCATGATGGTAAGGATTTAGGATGGGACGGATGGGAAAGGAAATGGTGTTCAACCACTTGTGGACGGTCGGGGATTGAACGCCGACCTGCATGAAGCGAGACAGTCGCTCTACCGTCCAGTCTTAACACACACACACACACACACACACACACACACACACACACACACACACACACACACACACACACACACACACACACACACACAAACGTCTTGAGAAACTGGAAACGGGAGAAAGAAAACGGGATATGTACTTACCTCCCAGCCTGAGTTCGGCGGCGTCTTGGACAGTGTCGTGATCTCCCTTCACGAAGCATTGGTACATGCCAGCGTCTGCCCGCCCCACGCCCCGCACCTCCAGCACTGATCCGCCCTCTGTGTGTGGGCGTGGTGAGGGGGGGAGAGATGGGCGGTGGAGGCGGGAACGCGGTGAAGTATGGCCACGAAGGAGCCAGAGTGTGGAGGGCGATGGTGATGGCCATTGTGGGCGTTGAATCCCGTTGTGGGCGTTGAGTCCCGTTGTGGGCGTTGAGTCCCGTTGTGGGCGTTGAATCCCGTTGTGGGCGTGGAGATGGGTGCCCCACAGGCGTGGTGAACCGGGTCAGATTGTCCAGAGTTGCAGGGAAAGTGAAAAAAAAGAGGAGAAAAACCATATTATTCCTGGGCCACACATGGTGGTGCCGCAAGCACAGCACATCATTCCTGAGCCCCACGTGGAGGTGATGCGAGAAAGAACATATTATTCCCGGGTCCCAAATGGAGATGACACAATAATTTGTAATTCAAAAATCCCTTCCCCCTCTCTCATCCCTTTCCCCCAAAAAGCCTATCTTGAGGTTATCTTGAGATGATTTCGGGGCTTTAGTGTCCCCGCGGCCCGGTCCTCGACCAGGCCTCCACCCACAGGAAGCAGCCCGTGACAGCTGACTAACACCCAGGTACCTATTTTACTGCTAGGTAACAGGGGCTTAGGGTGAAAGAAACTCTGCCCATTGTTTCTCGCCGGCGCCTGGGATCGAACCCAGGACCACACGATCACAAGTCCAGTGTGCTGTCCGCTCGGCCGACCGGCTCCCGTCGCCTACCGGACGACGCTAAAACTATTTTGTAAATATTAGCCCAGCTGGCAGAGGGAAAACAAGTGACAATAGAAATGTGACTGATGTTAACATCGTTTTTGGAAATTTCATTATATTCATTTCCACGGGCAATGATTGGTAGCACAATAGAAATATGCTGATTGGTTTAGCACCTCCCAAAAGGCTTTTCAAAATCTGACGTCCAATGTTTGTAAACAAGCAAATACTGTTTTGACAATTCTGGCATCAGCTTCAAACTGTATTACGCCGGAGAACATTTTTGATTTTGGAGAGATTTGATGTTGGATTTGCAGTTACCAATCGCTCAAAGGGATTTATTTTTGTTCTGCTTGATGCAGTAACACGAGACTACCTTTTTTTTATTATTTCTTGTTGCTTTTGGAGGATTTTCTAAAGGATTTGCAGCTTTGGTTTGATGCTGGGGTTAAGACCTGTTAACTTCTGGTGGATCATTATGGCCTCTCATAATTGCTGTCTGACCGACCAGTAAGAATATACTGAGTAAACTCTCAGTGTAAATACACTGAAATGCGGTATATATACACATTGTATATACACTGAGAGGCAGTATATACACACCTGCGTATGCACCCTTTGTAGTCACTGACGAACTCGATAAAATATATCTCTCTCTCCCATAAAAAAATGTTCTCCATGGAGTTCCACGCATCAGGCCGTTAAATATGTTTACAATCCCAATGCTGCAAATCTTCCAACTCCAGACTTGCTACAGAAGGGGAAAAACAAAAAACTTCCAATAAAAAAAAAATTGAGTTGCAGAGAGCGTATAAAACTTTTCAACTTCGTGTACTGAGCGCCTCCGTCGCCTCCATCAGTACCGTCGGAAAAAAAAACATGAAAAAAAAACGAGAAAAAAAACACTGAGGAAGAAATATAAGCGCACTCGGCGTTCAAACAAAGGGGCTGGCTTTGCTGTGAACCCAACAAAGACCACAATAGTTACCTCGGTCTGTTGTTATCGGGTTATGTGAGGAGTTTTTCACTGCTTAATATTTTAGCGCCTACATTGAAACTTGAATGACCAATGATCAATTTTTTTTTGCATCGCGGCTGTTATTCACGCGCGGAGGGGGGAGGGGGGGGGAGAGTAATGGTTGAGGGGTGTGGTTGACGTAATTGGGGAAGGGAGGGGTGGTAATAGAGGGGTGGTAATAGAGGGGAAATGTAATGAGGGGGTGTAGAAATAGATAAGGTAAGGAGAGGGGGGGGGGAGTTAATGGGACAGAGAAAAGGGGGGGTAGTAATAGAGGGGGGATATTATTATTGGGGGAGGTGTAGTAATAGGGGGAGTGGAGAGGGGGGTAAGGGCATTAATAGACCAGTGGGTAGGGGGTGAAGGGGTAATAATAGGGGAGGGATAAGGGGAAATAATATATGTTTAGTATATTGTGACGATAATCTCCTTCAAGAGATTGAGCCTGCTCTTCCCTCCAAAAATACGTCGATACATCTATATAAAACAAGTATAGAAGAAAAATCCAACAACGACAACACCAGCAAGGTTTGCCAGAGCGCAAAACGTATGCAGCCAGGAACACCTGCTCCACCTCAAACCGCCAAACTACCTGTCTTGTCGCCGGCTCATCGCTGATTGGCTACGGGTCTAGCTGCAACTGCACTCCACCCACCATACTACTTGATGTCTGGGGCCGCCACGACCTCAGTCTTCAGAATATCCCGTGCTTTCGACAAGTTAACACGTCTCGTTGGTAGACTAAAGCCCCAGGCTTACGTGTACTAAGAGAAGTGATAGCTTGAAGCCAATATTCCGGCACCTATTTACTTGTTTCACACTTGTTATTTGTTCATTTGTCTTAACGTAACTTTTCATTTTGTCATTTGATTATTCTTATTACTTTGATTGATTTTATTATACGAATTTGTATGTCCATTTTATTCATGCTTTGCTTTCTTTAACGTAATTAAAATTTCATTGTTAAAATTTACTTGTGTTTTGTGTGTCTTCTCCTTACCTTACCACAGACGAAGTTCCAGATTTTCTATTTTTTTTTCTATATGTGACGAGGCCATACCCCTAGCTTTTGAACAGCCGAACACCAACGCGTTACCGTCACAATATGCATATCAACATAAAATGTGACACTGTACTTTGGTCAGTGTAGGGGTGTGACACTGTACGTTAGTCAGTGTAGGGGTGTGACCCTGTACTTTGGTCAGTGTGGGGTGTGACCCTGTACTTTGGTCAGTGTGGGGTGTGACAGTGTAGTGTCATGTGGAGTCAGCATAGTATGTGCACCAGTATAAAGGCTCTTCACAGTATATTCTCGTCTAAAACTGTCTGTTGAGTTACATGGAAAACTACAGTCAGTCAGAAATGCACGTATACACAGTCAGAAATGCACGTATACACAGTCAGAAATGCACGTATACACAGCCAGGAATGTACGTACACAGTCAGGAATACACGTACACAGTCAGGAATACACGTACACAGACAGGAATACACGTACACAGTCAGGAATACACGTACACAGTCAGGAATACACGTACACAGTCAGGAATGCACGTATACACAGTCAGAAATGCACGTATACACAGTCAGAAATGCACGTATACACAGTCAGAAATGCACGTATACACAGTCAGGAATGTACGTACACAGTCAGGAATACACGTACACAGTCAGGAATACACGTACACAGACAGGAATACACGTACACAGTCAGGAATACACGTACACAGTCAGGAATGCACGTATACACAGTCAGGAATGTACGTACACAGTCAGGAATACACGTACACAGTCAGGAATGTATGTACACAGTCAGAAATACACGTACACAGTCAGGAATGCACGTACACAGTCAGGAATGCACATATACACAGTCAGGAATACACGTACACAGTCAGGAATGCACGTACACAGTCAGGAATACACGTACAGACAGGAATACACGTACACAGCCAGGAATACACGTACACAGTCAGGAATACACGTACACAGTCAGGAATGCACGTATACACAGTCAGGAATGTACGTACACAGTCAGGAATACACGTACACAGTCAGGAATGCACGTATACACAGTCAGGAATGTACGTACACAGTCAGGAATACACGTACACAGTCAGGAATACTAGTACACAGTCAGGAATACAGGTACACAGTCAGGAGTACACGTACACAGTCAGAAAAGCACGTACACAGTCACAAATACACGTACACAGTCAGGAATACACGTACACAGTCAGGAATACACGTACACAGTCAGAAATTCACGTACATAGTAAAAAAGGCGACTATGGCCTCACCTGTAATTGCTATCCTTCCTGCCGGGGTAAGGACGTGACCATCCTTGTACCAGGTGATAGCGTGGGGGTGCGAACCGGGTACCTGGCATCTGAGCACGCCCACGCCGCCCGCGTCCACCACCACCACCCTGGGCGTCAAGTGGGCGGTGACCGGTGCCGCCCTTTCCACACGGACCTGTGATTTGCAACGAGTAGAGGTGATTAGGGAGAGAGAGAGAGAGAGAGAGAGAGAGAGAGAGAGAGAGAGCATGAGATAAAAGTAATGACGTCTTGACATATCATAAAAACAATGAAACATATGCAGACGAGGAGTCACAATAACGTGGCTGAAATATGTTGACCAAACCACACACTAGAAAGTGAAGGGACGACGACGTTCCGGTCCACCCTGGACCATTCTCAAGTCGATTGTCACAATCGACTTGAGAATGGTCCAGGCCGAACCGAAACGTCGCCGTCCCTTTACTTTCTAGTGTGTGGTTTGGTCAACAATGAAACATATCTTTATCTAAGCAATAAAGTTTGTTATTGTAGTAGATTTATTAGATTTATTCAGTAGATTAATTGAACAGTAGATTTATTCAGAAGATCAGTTGATATTAGTATACTCCCAGTAGCATGGAGGGTGGCTAACGTGGTCCCATTATTCAAGAAACAAGAAAGATCCCTCACTGGGAAATATCGTCTGAATAACCTGATGTTAATAGTAACTCTCTCTCTCTCTCTCTCTCTCTCTCTCTCTCTCTCTCTCTCTCTCTCTCTCTCTCTCTCTCTCTCTCTCTCTCTCGGAAATATAATATCTGATACAAAGTGGTCAATAACCCGAGAGAATAATGACCTACACGCTCCCCCTCACAGGTTCCATGCAATATTTTCATGAAAATGTGAATTATTTCTTGCCTTTCTTCTCGCTTAAGGTGAAGCGCTGAGTTAGTCAGCGGAGCCAACATAAATATCTTTCACGGTATCTTTCACGGTATCTTTCACGGTATCTTGCCCTCGCTTTATACACAATGTATTTGCTGAGAAGATGTGACGCTTAGTGCTGTCCTGCAATGGTGTGTGTGTGTGTGTGTGTGTGTGTGTGTGTGTGTGTGTGTGTGTGTGTGTGTGTGTGTGTGTGTGTGCTCTAACCAATTATTCATGTCGCCCATTCTGCTTATTCCCAGATCTTACACTGAAGAAGTTCTTTTGTGATCTGTGTCATTTAAGTTTTCAATATCCATTTATGTCTCCTCGTTCTGCTGTTCCTCTCTTTGAACGCTGCTTCTTTGTTTGCTTTTAAGATATACTTCTTAGTATATGTGTTCGTACACGAGCATATTTACGACTTTGCATACACATGTGAGAATATTTATGCCAGTATATTGGCTATATACGAGGTTGTACATGCTAATTTAAGTTGCATGTTTTGAAACAAATGACAAACACCTGTTAAAAGGTTTCACACACACACACACACATGTTTAACAAACCACACAACATAACACGCCATACAAAAAAAAAAACTAGAATAATAAAATAAAAACCCTTTTGTTGTGCCTTAAGTCACTGTCGATTCTTGCAAGACGAGAGGCATTCTCTCTCCTCCTGAATTCAATATTGTCGACACATTTGGAAGACCAGACATGACATGTGATCGACTGGGAAGGGAGGTGTTATTTTGGTTTGCTTCTAAGTTTCTTTTTCTACCTCAGACGGGATTGTGTATTTACACAATTTACACACAGTGAGAATATATATATATTCACACTGTGCTCCAGGGACACAGAGGATAGAGAGTGTGATTGGTAGAGAGGAGATGAAGGGAATGAGGGGGAAGGAGTGATGGAATGAAAGAACTAAGGAGAGAGAAGAAGAGAGGATAGAGGGATGGGGGGGGGGATCGGATTGAGATGACGGTAGGTAGTGGAGGAGAAGGAGAAGAAGGAGAGAAAAGAGATGGTGTAGAAGAGAGGGTAAACTTCAGAAAGGGGTGGGGGTCAGGGTTGGGGGGGGAATGTCTCAGGGCGGTCTTGCACACACACACACACACACACACACACACACACACACACACACACACACACACACACACACACACACACACACACACACACACACACACACACACACAACCCGAGTAAATGCAAAGTAATGAAACTAGGCAGTGGAAACAGGAGGCCAGGCACAGGATACAGAATAGGAGATGAAGTACTTAATGAAACAGACAGAGAGAAAGATCTAGGAGTTGATATCACACCAAACCTGTCTCCTGAAGCCCACATAAAGAGAATAACGTCTGCGGCATATGCGAGGCTGGCTAACATCAGAACGGCGTTCAGGAACCTGTGTAAGGAATCATTCAGAATCTTGTACACCACATATGTAAGACCAATCCTGGAGTATGCGGCCCCAGCATGGAGCCCGTACCTTGTCAAGCACAAGACGAAGCTGGAAAAAGTCCAAAGGTATGCTACTAGACTAGTCCCAGAACTAAGAGGCATGAGTTATGAGGAAAGGCTGCGGGAAATGCACCTCACGACACTGGAAGACAGAAGAGTAAGGGGAGACATGATCACAACCTACAAAATCCTCAGGGGAATCGACCGGGTAAACAAGGACGAACTTTTCAACACTGGTGGGACGCGAACAAGGGGACACAGGTGGAAGCTGAGTACCCAAATGAGCCACAGAGACGTTAGAAAGAACTTTTTCAGTGTCAGAGTAGTTAGCAAATGGAATGCATTAGGAAGTGATGTGGTGGAGGCTGACTCCATTCACAGTTTCAAATGTAGATATGATAGAGCCCAATAGGCTCAGGAATCTGTACACCAGTTGATTGACGGTTGAGAGGCGGGACCAAAGAGCCAGAGCTCAACCCCCGCAAGCACAATTAGGTGAGTACAATTAGGTGAGTACACACACACACACACACACACACACACACACACACATACACACAAATAATGATAGAGCCCAATAGGCTCAGGAACCTGTACACCTGTTGATTGACAGTTGAGCGGTGGGACCAAAGAGCCAAAGCTCAACCCCCGCAAGCACAAATAGGTGAGTACACACACACACACACACACACTGAGCAAAACTGGGCAAGTCACGTCTCCTCGGTGCCTTAGACAAATGGAAGACAACGCCATGCAATATTGCTCTCAGCGACACATACACACACACACACACACACACACACACACACACACACACGCACACACACACACACACACACACACACACACACACACACACACACACACATATGGATGCGCGTTAGTTTTGTGATCTAATACGACAAGTTGATTTTTCTTCATTTTCAGCCAATTTCCAGATGTTTTTGCATGTGTTTCAGTTTGGGATATAAAAAGTTATATATATATATATATATATATATATATATATATATATATATATATATATATATATATATATATATATATATATATATATATATATATATATGTATATATATATATATATATATATATATATATATATATATATATATATATATTACTGAACATGACAGAAGGGGTTGATATCAATGACTGTAGCAGGAATCATTTTTATTTGTCTTATGTTGCTCTTCACTTGATAAAGAATTGGAAAATTATTTATCCAAAGACTTTTTACTATCTTATTACGGCGTGATGCTAAGAGAGGCGTCTAGCTGACCCTTATCAACATTATCAAAGGCAGAGATCAAGTGGAAACAAGGCTTTGATCAGCCGGATATATAGCCGGGGATGAAGTGAAGGTGAAGCCCTTTATTTACGACGTGAAACACTTTATTTATCAATAATATTGATAAGAAAGGTGAAAGACCTTATTTTTTCAATAGGCTGGTGTAGGTTACCAATCCCTTCTATTCCCATGATGTTCTAGGAAAACTGCCGTTATACTCAATGGTACGCGCTTGTCCCTATGTCAGTCTTTCTTCAACGTCTTTTGCAACACAAGAAGTTAGTCTTCCCTCAACGGCTCTTACAACACAACAAGTCAGTCTCCCCTCAACGGCTCTTGCAACACATCAAGTCAGTCTTTCCTCAACGTCTTTTGCAACACAAGAAGTTAGTCTTCCCTCAACGGCTCTTGCAACACATCAAGTCAGTCTCCCCTCAACGGCTCTTACAACACAACAAGTCAGTCTCCCCTCAACGGCTCTTGCAACACATCAAGTCAGTCTCCCCTCAACGGCTCTTGCAACACATCAAGTCAGTCTCCCCTCAACGGCTCTTGCAACACAACAAGTCAGTCTCCCCTCAACGGCTCTTACAACACAACAAGTCAGTCTCCCCTCAACGGCTCTTGCAACACAACAAGTCAGTCTCCCCTCAACGGCTCTTACAACACAACAAGTCAGTCTCCCCTCAACGGCTCTTACAACACAACAAGTCAGTCTCCCTCAACGGCTCTTGCAACACATCAAGTCAGTCTCCCCTCAACGGCTCTTGCAACACAACAAGTCAGTCTCCCCTCAACGGCTCTTACAACACAACAAGTCAGTCTCCCCTCAACGGCTCTTGCAACACAACAAATCAGTCTTCTTCAACAGCACCTTCTTCAGTCAGCAACAAGTCAGTCTTATTCAACATCTTCACCCCCCAAACTAACCATATTCCCGGCTCACGCTTGCCCCAGACTTCCCATATTCTCTCCCACATCTACAACAGCAATTTATGCAGGCGATGAGTCACAATAACGTGACTGAAGTATGTTGATCAGACCACACACTAGAAGTTGAAGGGACGACGACGTTTCGGTCCGTCCTGGACCATTCTCAAGTCGATTGAGAATGGTCCAGGACGGACCGAAACGTCGTCGTCCCTTCAACTTCTAGTGTGTGGTCTGGTCAACAGCAATTTATTTTTCTGACGAAAAGCAAGCACTGAGCATCTACTTCCAGTCGAGGCGCGAGGATAACATTTAATATCTCATCAAAACTTAACGCTGACCGACTGTTGTGTAGATTACTGGGACCATTTTTGTGGTCTGTTGACCTATATCTCAAGTCCCTGTGCAAGGGGAGATGTCCCCCTCGTCGTCTTCAGTTTAAAAGTTAAGTGTAGCGATTAAGACAAGTCGAGAATGATTAGATAACTTTCACTTAATTCACCGTAACATTTAGAGGACTTTTGTGATAAAGATGTTTATGTAGGCGCGTAAGTTTGTATTCCATTGTTATTTTTTATTGCATACGAGAAAATGTCGCAATATTTAGAGATTTCGGATGATTAAGGATGACAACTTTTGAGAAATAAAAAACTTTCTCTAAGAGCAAGCCAGTTGACCGCTTGCTTAATTACAGAACGTTCCACTAGTCCAGCTAATTGAATTGGCGGTGAGTTGGGAACATACACTGCTCGCTTACCCAACACAAACACTGCTCGCAGCTGCGTGACGCGACTATTTGTACACACAAACACTTGCGAGAGCTCACAGCCTCTTGTTACTGAGGCCTTCTTAGTGACGACGGTATCTCAGCCTGATATCTTGTTCAACAGCAACATACTCGTGGGAAATGTTGATTTGAGTTGCATAAGCTGTCCAAGAAAGGGAAGAGGAGGGGCCCAAGAGATGGTCTCGACGGCCTGCTGACACTTACAGGTTAGCGCCAGAAGGTAAGCTCACTCCAGGATGCTCACTCCGGGTAGAAGAAAGGCTCCTCATCACTTGAGATTGCTAATTATCTGAGCGAAAAGAGGCCGGGAGTTTGTGACGTGTTTCTGGGAGGGAGGGAGGGAGAGAGAGAGAGAGAGAGAGAGAGAGAGAGAGAGAGAGAGAGAGAGAGAGAGAGAGAGAGAGAGAGAGAGAGAGAGAGAGAGAGAGAGAGAGAGGGAGAGAGAGAGATCACCAGAGATGCTCATCAAGAACCTTTAATCTAGAAGAAAGTATTAATGTGGTGAGCGAGGCGAAGAGAAGCCTAAGTTAAGCAATAAGGGTGAGACCTGCAGCAATGCAGAAGGGATAGATGTCATTATAATACCAGGCATACGAGGGGAAAGTTGCCAGAGAAAGCACTTGGAATGCCAGAGAAAGTAGGTGTAGCGCTTGAGAAAGTTTGAAAGGAGGAAGCAAATGTATATTGCAGATGAAAATATACCGCATGCATTGCCAAGGAGAAGACTCCTGTAATGCAATGCTTGAGAAAGTACAATTATCAATTGTATTACCTGAAATAAGCCTGAATTGGGGTCTGGGAGTTCTAATTCCCCAAGCCTGCCTCGGGGTCAGACTCGACTTGTAATAACTTGATGCAACAGGCTGTTGCTTGGAGCATCCCGCAAGGCTCCCTACACACATATCCACAACAACCTGCTTGGTCCGATACGTGTTGCATGAACGAGTCTAATCTTTCTTGACCACGTCAACTTTCACTCCAGTTATATTTCATAGGTTTGTTGTTATGATATTGAAGAGCTGTTGACTTCTAATGTCCATTCAGTGTCTGCTCAGATTGTGCCTCTACTCTTCACTGGCTCTATTCTGCATTTCCTACCATATCTTTCGTTCCAATCTGTTGTTATCTTACGGTGCTATCTAGTCTGCTAGTATCTTCGATGTATCTTTCATGTGATGTGGGCTGGACGGTAGAGCGACGGTCTCGCTTCATGCAGGTCGGCGTTCAATCCCCGACCGTCCAAGTGGTTGGTCACCATTCCTTCCTCCCGTCCCATCCCACATCCTTATCCTGACCCTTTCCATGTGCTATATAGTCGTAATGGCTAGGCGCTTTCCCTTGATAATTCCTTCCCTTCCCTCTCTCATCGGCTTTCTAGAGAGTACAGTTTGAGAGCTAGAGAGAGAGAGTTTGAGAGTTTGAGAGTCGATCTACTTTTCAAAAGAAAGTAGTTTTAGAAACCAGGAGACTGTAAGCTCAAGGGGCCAGAATAAAGTACGTTTAAACTCAAGGGAAAATAGATGGAAAAATAGGAACAAAAACAATAGAAAGCAATTATAAAACGCAAGAGAAAGTAGGCGTAAAGTAATAAGAGACGACATGGGCCACAGACGATGGAAAAGGACTTGAGGGGATAGGATGGGAGAGGAGAGAGGAACAGGGGAGAGACCCAAGAGAGAGAGAGAGAGAGAGGAGGAATTAAATTATCCGTTTGCTGACCGGGATGAAGTCTCGTCTTATTTGTCTCTTGCTCTTCTTAATAGTGAGTCAAGGCGTCGAGGCAAGTTGGCTCTGTTGTCGCTGAGACAAGAGAAGAGGTGTAATTAAGAGCAGTGCTGGAGACAATACGAACCAGGGGGGGGGCAGGGGGGTGCGGGGAACCTGATTCGTTAGGAAAGGAATGGGGAAAGTAAGGAAAGTGTGGGAAGGAAATGGGAATCGCATAAAGAAAGGGGGGAGAGAATTTTGAGTGTGGTTCCGCACCAGGATTAAGGCTCTGGAAGGGATGGATGTGTGTGGAATGGGCTTAAGGTGTGGATAAGAGGGTGTGGGGTGAGAGGGAGAGTTGACGTGGATGGGTGTAGGATCAGAAGCGGGGATGAGGAAAGTTGAGAAAGTTGCGGGTGGACAGTAGCGTGTTGAAAGGTGGGAAAGTACCTAAGGAAGCCACTGCCGAGGTTCCGGAGAGAGAGAGAGAAAGAGATATGCCTCGTTACAAACTATTAGGCCGCCAACGCCCTCACCCCGCCAACGCCCTCACCCCACCAACGCCCTTACCTCCATGGTGGCGCGCCCGGCCTCATTGGACGCCTCACACACCAAAGTGGTCGCATCTTCAGGCGTGCCGTGGGCGGTGGGGTCGAGCAAGAGGACCCCCCCGTTGCCCCAGATCCTGGCGCCGCCGCCCGCCTCGCCGCCCCTGCCCACGCCCGTCGTCGACAGCGTGTTGATGGGGACCTTCTCTCCGCCTCTCTCCTGCCACCACCTGAAACAAGAACCAAATGATGACCGGCCGATTAAGAGGCGCTGGGTCGAGCCTCGCGGACTTATTTCTCAGTACTGAGTTTTGAACATGAATTTATATGCTGGGAAAAATTATTATTAATATGGGTTTGGAACAGGGAGAAACATCATGTATGGAAGGACCATGTCACGCTGGTTTACCTGAGGGGTACCTGAGGTTTACCTGAGAGCCGCTAACACTAGTGGCCTCGACGAGGACAGGAAGCTGGCGGTTTGTCGAAGGTCCCCCCTATTTGCCTTAATGATCTTTCGAGCTTTACTTTAAAAGTTAACAAAGTTCACTTGTGATTCTCACTTGTGATACAGTGAGGACCAGAGAACCGTTATGATGTTAGAGAGAAAGTAATTTCAGACAAATTATATGCAAATAATACATAAAGAAGAAATAGGACATTCCGAAATACACAAACGCATACATACACACAGGTGAGATACGAAGAGAGACTGAAGGAACTAAACCTGACGAAGTTAAAAAGGAGGAGGGAGAGAAGGGGGAAATGATACAGACGTATAAAATACTTAGAGGGATTGACAGGGGGGGGGGAAACAGAGGAATTGTTTGCAATGAATGTCAACAGAACAAGACGGGCACGGATGGAAGCTTGAGACTCAGATGTGTCATAGAGATGTTAGAAAGTTTTCCTTTTGCGTAAGAATGAATGATATACAGGAGAAGATGCCCATGGGGTGCGCCTTGAAGTGGGGACATGTGAAGAGAAGTCGGTGAGCGGAAATGCTGAAGTTGAAGAGAAAAGGGCTTGACCCAGCTGGGTGTCTTTAGTCGATGCTGAAAGCCACCCAACATCTGGCTAGGCCGGGAGACATGTCAGAAAGGCGGCAGTGGCAGTGCTTCTTCGTTCAAGATAGAGACAATCTATCTTCAGGTGGTGTCTTCTTTCTTCTTCTTCTTCTTCTTCTTCTTCTTGCTTCTGTGTGGTGCTTCTTTCTTCTTTCTTCTATTTCTTTATGCTTCGTGTAGTCATTTGATGATGATGGTATTCGGCGTAGTCTTCGGGGAAGAGTTCGGGTGCCAGGGTAGGTTCATAACATTCCTCGTAGATTATGTCGCTGTCAAGTCTGCACTAACAATTAAATTCTGGGTGATTCTGCCTGTGTTCTTGTACCTTCGTGTTATATATATGGCTGGAGGGAAGTGAGTATATGGAATGACATAAAGGTCATTCCATTTTTGTTTTATTCACACACATTCATTCCTAAAGGTCACACACACACACACGCACACACACACACACACACACACACACACACACACACACACACACACACACGCACACACAGGTTTGTCGAAACCTAAGTAAGGAGGCATTTAGGGCGCTTTACACTGCCTACGTAAGGCCAGTCTTAGAGTATGCCGCCTCATCATGGAGTCCCCATCTGAAGAAGCATATAATGAAACTGGAAAAGGTTCAGAGGTTTGCAACGAGACTCGTCCCAGAGCTACGAGGGATGGGGTATGAAGAGCGCCTGAGGGAACTGTGCCTTACGACACTAGAAAGAAGAAGGGAGAGGGGGGACATGATAGGAACGTATAAGATACTCAGAGGAATTGACAGAGTGGACATAGACGAAATGTTCACACGGAATAGTAACAGAACGAGAGGACATGGATGGAAGCTTGAAACTCAGATGAGTCACAGAGATGTAAGGAAGTTTTCTTTTAGCGTGAGAGTAGTGGGGAAATGGAATGCACTTCAGGAACAGGTTGTGGAAGCAAATACTATTCATAATTTTAAAACCAGGTATGATAGGGAAATGGGACAGGAGTCATTGCTGTAAACAACCGATGCTCGAAAGGCGGGATCCAAGAGTCAATGCTCGATCCTGCAAGCACATATAGGTGAGTACATATAGGTGAGTACACACACACACACACACACAGAGGGAGAGGAATCACTAACACACCAAAACAGTTACATGGAAACGTCTTAAAAAGTCTAGTTGCCGACCAAGAAGTCCTTCTTATCAGTCTCCAGGACCATGAATACCTTCAACGCCCATAACATTATTGCAACCCTTCCCTTCCTCCCTCCCTCCCTCCCTCAGAACCCCCCTAACTCCCTCATTAACATCTCACAGCCCCTTCTCCACTCCCTCTTGTCTCCCACCCCCCCCCCCTCCCTCCCTCACTCCTCACACAGCCAAAGAAACCTGAACTGGACAAAGACATTCCAGACACAGCCTATGTCTTGTTCGTCTGTCATGTGGTGTATTGGTGTTTAAGCTGTCTTCCGTCTGTCATTTTCCCCCTCATCGCTTAGATATATGTGACCTGATATTCTATATCTTGGGAGGTTTTTCACTGGATCTTTTATTCTTTGTGCATCGCTAGGATTGAATTCTTTATCTTAATTGAGGGTCGGTGTGGTTTTGTTCCTGTGGGAGGGTGTGTTATATGATTGGGTGGTGGTAGTGGTAGTGGTGGTGGTGGTAGTGGTGGGCGTGGCTCACCTGTACTGTGGAGGCGGGTGGGCGTGAGCCACACAGGGCAGCACCAGGGGCTTGGTGTCCGAGAGCTTCACCGTAGCAGACTTGGTGACCATCCGTGGTGCCTGTCGCTCTCGCGGGTCTGTTCACAGCAGGAGAGAGAGAGAGAGATTCAGACAATTAAATTCTCTTGTTTATTTTATAAATTCATACAGGAACCCCTGGCACTTAACGTAATTATTGTGTTAAATCACTGATAAATTGTAGTTTCTGACTCTAAATCTACATTATACAATATATAATTATAAATATTACATTTTAGGCTATTGTTATGACTTTGTCTTTCGTAAATAATTTACTGTAAATTTGTGTACATTAACCCAATTGTAAATGTACAAACATTTATGAGTAGAGCATTTGAATTAGAATTTGAATAAAAACGCTACTTAGTGATTTGGTAAGAAACAAATCGCTAACTAGATCGTTTCAGCGAATTATGACTGTTTCAGGGTTGTTGAATCTCATGGGCAGTTTAACTGGACGCAAGTCATTTCGTACACAAAATAGTTCGCCAAAGGATTTTAGAACCTATCTAACCTAACTCAATCCAACCTAACCTAGACCAACCGAGCCTAACACAGAATTCTGAGAACTAATACATTCTAACTTAACGATATACATCTGTGATAGAGGGGAGAGAATTATCAGGGGGATGCACCAAGCCATTACGACTATATAGCACTTGGAACGGGTCAGGATAAGGATTTGGAATGAGACGGGGGGAAAGGAATCGTGCCCTGGACGGTCGGGGATTGAACGCCGACCTGCATAAACATGTGACAGAGAAGGAGCTTCATATAACCATCTTACCTTGAGGTTACCTTGAGGTGCTTCCGGGGCTTAGCGTCCCCGCGGCCCGGTCGTCGACCAGGCCTCCTGGTTGCCGGACTTGTGTACAACTTGACTACACCTTCATCTAACTTTGTCTGCGGGTTTACGCTGAGTCGGGCTCCACAAGGCTGACAATTCCTTCTTCAGGAGCCTGGCATCTTATCTCCCATGCCCAACCACTTAGGCAGGACGGTAGAGCGACGGTCTCGCTTCACGCAGGTTGGCGTTCAATCCCCGACCGTTCAAGGGGTTGGGCACCATTCCCCTCCCTTCCCCTCCATCCCAAATCCTTATCCTGACCCCTTCCAAGTGCTATATAGTCGTAATGGCTTGGCGCCTTCCCCCTGATAGTTCCCTTCCCAGGCTACTGAGAGATTGATGAGGGAAGTGTGTACCTGTGTACCTCTAGACTGGTAACTTGTGCTGGCAAACTATTAACAGTGTGTAGGTCTAAACTGTCTTCCCCCCATCCCAAATCCTTATCCTCACATCCTTCCAAGATGTCATATAGTAGTAATGGCTTAGCGCTTTCCCCCTGATAGTTCCTTTCCCAGGCTATTGGGGGACTGGTAACTGGTGCTGGCAAACTATTAACTGTGTGTAGGTCTAAACTGCTAATTGACAATAACAAACTGCTGATAGCCTGCTTTGCTTATTCGTGTGATGTGTAAATGAGATCCCAACTCATGGGATCTATCATGTCTATCATCCCTTAGCAGACTAATACTGTTAATTAGCAGTTGGTAGTTGTATGATAAAATGATAAATATTTGCTTGCTTGCTGCTATTAGTTAAAAAAACTGCTTTGTTATGCTGGTAATCTATATAATGCCAACTACTATTTTCTGTTGAGAGTTACTAATATATTTATATTAACTAAGAAATGAAGGATTGTTCTTCAGCTATTATTTCTTGAGAAATCCCTAATTTATCTACTAATTCAAAAATTTTAAATTTTGAATTTATAAGAATAGATATTCTGTAAAAAATGGGCCAGTTATCTAATGCTCTGTTTTTATATTTGTCAAAAAATTCTCATCAAATTGATTGTGAGATGGCTTCTTCAATAACGAATTTTAAAATGATTTTCAACAGAAACATTATTGAATCTGCTTTAATACATATCACAAAACAATACAATAAGAACATTAGAGGTTTGTATAATTTGGAACCATCTCTAATTGATCAATTACAAAACGATTTGAATAAGTTCATTAATACCAAGTTATCTCAATAATATCTCATTATATTATTATTAGTATTGTTACTTTCTGGAAGTCACACGTATTGGTCAATGGGCCTTCTATAGCTTCCTGTGGTGTTGTGAACAAAGACATTGTTTTTCATCTTTTTCACCTTTTTACCTTCGGTGCTTTTCACCTTTCCTGCCTATATCCACCACTGACTTGTGATAATCATCCTTCTGAAGATTTATTAACACAAAAATACTTAAGGAATTATTCATCATGTGTTAATTTCTTCGTGATTTACACGCATATATATATATATATGTGTGTAAATCATGTATATATATATATATATATATATATATATATATATATATATATATATATATATATATATATATATATATATATATATATATATATATATATATATAAACCGCAAGGAAAAAGAACGAGGGTGATCCATGTGGTTTAAAGGATCCACCTCGAAAGTCTCCAGGAAAAGAATTGAATTACTCCTTTTTTTTGCCTCTTATCGAAGACCCCAAGTTTTTGAGAAGTCTTCCTGGAGGGGGAATACAACTTTACTCCAGCTGTGGTGCCACAGGAACCAGGGATCACCATCCTCCTTCCCGTCTGGGAGGTGAGGAAAGCCTGAGGCTCTTCAGAGAGGAAGGAGAGGATATTCAAGGATATTTGGATGTAATGAGGAATAGGTGTTATATGAGGAGAGGGGATAGGGATGACTGGCTGCGGAATAGTGGTGAATTTAGACATAGTGTACGTGAGGGGAGTTGAGAAAGGGAATTTTTTAACACTTTGTAAGTCTCAAATCTCAAAAGTCAGTAGCATCAGGGGTTTAGGAGTGGCCGCCGGGAGTCTCCCTCCGTCACCACACACCTTCAGTCCTCGACCAGAGTCACACAGCACTAACCGTGAACGATGATCCTGGCGGTGTTGGAGGCGGCGGTGGTGGAAGTGAGGGTGTGCAGGACCCGACAACGGTAGGTGGCGTAGGAGTCAGCTGCCTTAACCTCGTGGACCAGGAGCCGACCGTCGAGCAGCGCATGGTACTTCCCATCTTGGAACAGAAAGAGAGAGAGCTGAAAATCATTTGATGTAGCGATTGTGTGCGTTTTCTTTCTGTGTCACGGAGGTTGTGGTGGGGTTATAGCTATATAACCTCTCTATAACCCCCCTTCATATGCTGAAGGGGGTTATAGAGAGCGAATCACAAACTCTGAATTTGAGGTTATGGAAAACTGTGGGCCAGCTTATTGGGTGTTGTGATAAGTCTGTTTAGCGCTGTTGATTTGGTATGGAAGTATTATGGTGCTGTTATGGTAGGGGTTTAATTGTATATTCATGGTGGGATTGTGAGTTACCATGTTTGGGTTATATTGAAGTTGCTGGATACCATAATGGGGCTAAGACAGATTACACTGATGCCATGGTGGAGATTTATTAGGATATCATAAGGGTAGGGATTTATTAGGATATCATAAGAGATTTATTAGGATATCATGTCTGTAGTTGCTACTATAGGTATGAAGTGATTGGCATTCACGCTGAATAAGAATGGATTTTTTATTGAAGAATTCAAATATTTTTTTTTGTGTGTGTGGATTTTAAACGTTTATTGCTTTTCAAACGTGTTTTATGCGATAAAATAATTTATTAAATTTTTCAACCTTTTTTTGCTGCTGCTGTTGTTGTTTCCAGAATGTAACTGAAACTTGAATTTTCTTTTAAATTTTCGAACAAAACTAATCAATGCTTTAGTAATAGCTTTTGCTAGAGTATAAACATTGTGTAAAATAGTAGAAGCATAAAGTGTAGAACTTCATTGTTTACAGTTTGGTGTTGAATTCGTGGCCCGAGAGGTAATAATGTGTGTAAATAAAGTGTGGCGGGTTGTCAGTGTGTAAATGAAGAGGTTTCGTTGCTTGAGGAGAAAGTTCTCGGAGGTTAATTTTGTGTATGTGTGTGTGTGTGTGTGTGTGTGTGTGTGTGTGTGTGTGTGTGTGTGTGTGTGTGTGTGTGTGTGTGTGTGTGTGTGTGTATGTGTGTGGGTGTGTTTGTGTGCGTGTGTGTGTGTGTGTGTGTGTGTGTGTGTGTGTGTGTGTGTGTGTGTGTGTGTGTGTGTGTGTGTGTGTGTGTGTGTGTGTGTGTGTGTGTTGGCGGGAACGACATTGATTTGATTTTGGAGTCAAAATTTATAAAACCGTTCATAAACACGTTTTATAAACAAGTTTTTTTTTTTTATAAAATACGATTACAAACACACTTATAAAAACGTTCTCACTGCTTACGTTTGTATCAGGCACGTTCAAGATCACTGAAAATAAATTATACATCCCCAAAAAATTGAGCAGCTTAAAAAAGTCATTATCCAAAGGATTTGAGCGACGTAAAAAGGTTATTATCCACCCATATCCAGATTCATGGAAAGAGATTATAGGACTCAGCACATGGAAAGGGATTATAGGATTTATGTACTATGTAATTTTTGTCTTGTTTACAGGCAGACAATGCCCTCCGTCCTTGGCTCACATTAAAGGGCAGAAACTATTGTACCCGTGTCCTTTCGCCTAATATCTCTGTTCACCCAGCAGTAACATAGGTACCGGGGAGTCTGGCAACTGTTGTGGGGTTGTATCCTGGGAAGGGTTATCTTGAGATATCTATCTTGAGATGATTTTGGGGCTTTTAGTGTCCCCGCGGCCCGGTCCTCGACCAGGCCTCCTGGTTAGTGGTTCGACCTTGTAAAGACCTTAATGTAGAGGCTAGTTGTCCCCGGTCAACTGTAATTGTGAAGGAGAGTGGATGGTGATCCACCAGCTCTTGACCCACCGTGACTCGGCCTAACACGGCAGCTACGTGGGTAGTGCAGACGATGAGTCACAATAACGTGGCTAAAGTATGTTGACCAGACCACACACTAGAAGGTGAAGGGATGACGACGTTTCGGTCCGTCCTGGACCATGCTCAAGTCGATTGAGAATGGTCCAGGACGGACCGAAACGTCGTCGTCCCTTCACCTTCTAGTGTGTGTGGTCTAGTCAGCATACTTCAGCCACGTTATTGTGACTTATCACTCAGCTCCTCGCCCTGCTCAATCCACCTCTCCAAAGCAGGCCAGCCTCGTAATATCTTGATTTGTTATTACGTAAAAAATCCAACCTTCTAACAACCAGAAACTTACGAACCAACCCAAGCAACCCGTCACTCTGAGGTATGTACAATGAAGAAGGATCCCGTGGTTGCGTTGGTTGCCATAGCGCACAAAATACGACCTATTAGTTGAGAGGACCGACTGACCAGTGGAACTACAACTTTCTTGCTACCGTTCACTACATCGAATTCATCCCATAAATAAATCCGGATTGGTATTAAGTTTTCGTAACTAACCCGAATTCCCAGAAGCATTTTAATTTCTCTATTATATTTATACCTGTATTAAGATAATATATGTCTAGGCATAAATATATATTTAGCCCTAAAATCTGAAATATTTTTGAGTAATGGAAATATTTCATTAATTAGTTGATGAGTAAGTGCTCTCTTTCCTACTAAAATAATTTTTTAAAATGTTAATTTTTTAACATTAGTTAAAATAGTAAAGTAAAACATTAGTAAAAATAGTTAATTTTTTTAAGGAAATGTTAATTTTCCTCATCCTTTTCGTAAAAGAAAAAAAACAAATCCGTAGTTTCGTATCAATCTTCGCGAACGACACGAAAAATACGCGTACAAATTGCCTCGTCTCGACACACACAACCACCTTAAGACATCAACAAGACACAGCAATGTGCAACAGCAAATAACATGACGAACAGCAAGAACCAACAACAACCAGGAGGCCTGGTCGACGACCGGGCCGCGGGGACGCTAAGCCCCGGAAGCACCTCAAGGTAAGGTAACCAGCGCCAATTACTTCGGAACGAGAACACGCTAACATCTTGAAAGGTGTATACAGAATACATGCCAGGTGTATACATGATACATGCCACATATATACAGGATACATGCCAGGAGCAACCAAGTTAATGATCTTAGAACATCACAATACATCCAACCCGACAACAGCCAAGAAAATAATAGGGGGTGGAAAATAGGGACATTCAAATAGGAGATGTCAGTCATTCTACCCATTACAACACTGGTTCAATTTTGTATAGAATATTCCTCGGTTCCTGTATCCATTCTCAAGACATTACATGACTTGATAATGGGCCAGAAGGGACCGAAACGTCTATGGCTTTCTTTTCAGACGTTTCTGTGTCTGACGTTCAGCCTCGTTATTGTGATTTTCTCATAATAATACTATATACTACCCACTGTTGCTATACCAGCCACTGTTGCTATACCAGCCACTGTTGCTATACCACCCACTGTTGCTATACCAGCCACTGTTGCTATACCAGCCACTGTTGCTATACCAGCCACTGTTGCTATACCACCCACTGTTGCTATACCAGCCACTGCTGCTATACCAGCCACTGCTGCTATACCAGCCACTGCTGCTATACCAGCCACTGCTGCTATACCAGCCACTGCTGCTATACCAGCCACTGCTGCTATACCACCCCACTGCTGCTATACCAGCAGGCTTCTCGCATATCACAGCGTCGATAAGAACAAGGCAAAATGTTGCCCGCGGGACCATAGTGAGATAAATGTGAGGGTGATAATGAGGGCGAGACCGCGACAGACGTGATAATGAGGGTGATAAGAGGAGGAAAGTGATGGGGCGCCGCTGGGATGAGGAGATAGATAGTGAGGGGGAGGCTGTAAAGAGGGAGAAGAGAAAGTGATGGGAGGGAGAGGGGAGGGAGGGAAGGGGAAGAGGTGGAGTGAGGGGGGGAAGAAGAAAGAAGAGAAAGCAAGGGGAACGAAGAGGGGAAGAGACAATGTGCATCTCACACGTCAATTATATAGTGATAATTAGACAAATTGGAATAATATTAGGCAAATGGGGGTAGCGTGGGGTGGGGGGCGGGGAAGACCTTCGACAAGCCGCCGGCTTCCTGTCCCCGTCGAGGCCACTATAGTGTTAGTGGCTCTCAGGTAAAACTCAGGTAAATTGCCTAATGAGATACATATATATGATAAGAGCAACTCTGAAATTATTATTTCTGGAAATAACATAATTATTTTTTATTATTATTTTGACTCCGTCCTCAATTCCCAGCTCCCATCCTATCTTCATGGACCAGTTCTTAGTCTGTCTCATATCCCTTCCATAGACTATTGTTGGACATTCCTGGTATTAAACCTCTCAGACTGATCGAACGTTCCATCATTGAACCTGTCACACTCACCGGACCATCTAAAATCCAACCTGTCACGCTGATTGGACGTTTCACCAACGAATGTGTTTGCACAACAAACAAATCCCCCCCTCCCCCCCCCCTCCCTCCCCCTTCACCAGAGTGCCAACAAACTTCTGCCTGAATATATCCGGCACAGTGCCGGCCGCGTCGCCATTTTACGCCCTTGTTGCTGTATTCATTAAAAAAAAAAGTTTTACTGCCAAGCTAAAAAAAAGAACAAAGATAAAGAACTGAACATAAAATAACATTTACAAAATAAAATTGCTGGCTGCCCCAGACATAAATTTTAAATGGCAGAGAAAAGGTAAAAAAAAAATTACATACCCGTATGGCTTTTGTTTTAGGAATAATCTGATATTGAAAGGTGTTAAATCTCGGATCTTTTTATGTTGTTGTTGTATTAAATCTACAGCTGTATCTCTCAGGCGTCTTTACGAGAGAGGGGGAGGGGGGGGGGAGATGTATTTTGATGCTGTAAAGTCGTGTTTCCAAGGCTGGACTTGTAGAGTTCTGAGCCTTATAGTTTAGGCTTATTTGACATCGTTTAAAGTCTGAATTATGCTTAGAAATTTGTCATCAACTGAGTTTTATCTAAATAATAATAAGGAAAATAAAAAAAAAAAGAAGAGTTATAATAATAAACAACTTTGTCAAATATATTAATAATTAAGACAATACTATAATAATATTAAAAGTTATAATAGCAACAGTAAAATCAATCATATCTTGAGGTTATCT